TTCGCCTAGCGGTCGCAGATCTTAGTGGGGAAAGGAGCAGCAGCAGACGGGAAGCAGGATCGGGAGACCCTGAGGAAATATAGATAAGAAGAAGCTCCAAGAAAACGAGGGGCACGAGAATACGGGGGGGACAGCTTTCAAGTTACTAGATGAAATGGTACCTAGGGTAAAGTAAGGTAGGTATGGCGCGTCGGGCCTTTATAACTCGGCGTAACCGCGTGTCGCGGACACCCACAAACGCATGCACGCATCCACACTTGCAAGCTGCGTTGGTGGCACCTAGCCTCAAGCGTTGGTCTTCGACCGCTTCAGCCACCGGGGATAATCAATCGCACATATGAGGGATCCTTGCGACGTGGCTCAGACAGCTCCCAATGAAATTGTCTCACGGGGACGACTGTGTCTCGGATCGGTGCGTGTGTCTCGAGGGCACAAATCCTTTCTTGGTAACCCCCCCGTCTCACCGCTTGGATCTTCGTGATACGTAGCGTACGGTAGTTATTCTGCCGAGTTTTTGCTAAAGAAGACGAGATTCGGGGTCGGTGTAGGAACTTTAGATCGGGCATATGCACGTCGGCATTGGAACCCACCTGGCATGCACAGCGTACACACATTGGACAGCTTGGAAATGCGGCCAAACATGCCCCTGTCAGCTTACGCCTCAGGCACCGCCAGATGTCACAGACGCAGCCACAAATGTCATCAACATTCGCTGGGTTGTTACACGGGTGCTGATCGCTCGTTCAGCCGGCCCGTGGCGCCCAAGGGAATAATGCCTCAAATGCCTCATACGCATCCAACCCTATAATCGACGTCCTACTTATCTTTGTTTCAATCTCATGTTTCGTGTCCTCCGGCGAGACCGATGTCGTACAAAAGGGCTCGTATGGTACAAGTAACACTCAGACACCATAAAACATACTAGGGCTATTCGCTATCTTCTATGTTGTGTAAGTGGGTAACGCAAACGACGGCGTAAACCTCTTTGGATGCAGTTTGCATAGAAGAAAAAGCTTAAAAGAAACAAGCTTCGTCGTAAAGCAAGGTCGTAAAAGCAATGGTGGGTTACGTATAGCTGGGGAATAATGGCTTATGTCCGGTTCTACTCGAAAGCTGGTGTTCAAAAGGAAAGACGACGCGTCGAGGGGTACGCATGTCGTCCTTGAAGGAAGCCATACAACGATGCGACGGCAAGCCATCTCATAGGTGGTAGCTTGATCTCTTTCGTGCAAAGGGCTACCATCACGGCGCATCTATCCAAGATATGGAAAGGAAGCGTCTACTCTCTTGATGTCAAAAGATTGGAGTCGAGGTAACAATGTACATTCTTATATACAGACTGATCAGTATTACTCGCAGTGAACTCTAGCAATCTCATATATCTTTACACCAGCCCCCATTTCTCAAAGCACACGCAAAAGAAACACAAGGAAATCGCTCTCTCTCCTCACAGCAACCTACTCAACAGGTTCCTCCTCCAACAACGCCTTGAAACTAAATGGCTCAAACGCCACACCATCACCAATGAAATGCTTACTCATCGCCTCCACCCAGTGCAATCGCAGACTGTGCAACATGGCGCTCGTACCCTCCATAACACACAACACCGCCACAGTCAACGCGAACCAAAAGTAAAAGACAAACACCATGATGAAAGCACCGGCTACGCCTTCAAAAGCGAACGCATTCTTCATAGTCATTTCCCACAAGACAATGGACAGACGTTGATGGGCGAGTGACAAGGCCCAGAGACGGAGGTAGGAGGCCGTGTGGGATACGCAGTTGAGGCAGAATTCTACGCCCCATATGTTAGTCTCGTATCCTAAAGACAGCGCTGTATGCGGAAGGGGGGTACATACCAATAGTGTGAATAACCTGATGGATCATGACTTCACTGAACTCAAACTCCTCTTCCTCCTCTCCATGCCCAATATCTTGAGTAATCATCGCAATATCCTCGTCATCACCGTAGCTGTCGCGACCACCATTCGCGTGACCGTTCTCGTCATCGTCGTCCAGCGCGCTGACTCTGGATGTCTCGCCGATACCACGGTACCCCATTGCGCGGGCCTTGTTGTGTTCGTAGCGGAGGTAGAATGGCTTGAGGAACAGAAGCACAGGCACACAGGCCAGTGCAAGCAGTAACAAGACAACTTGCACAAAGGCTTGACCGGGGTATAGAGGTTGGGTACCAGCTTCGAGTGTGCCAGGGCTCAAGAACATGTAAATCAACATGTTGAGCAGAGAAGGTGGGCTCTCGCCACGCGCAGGCCAGTCAATGCACCACTTGTATACGATGGTGAAAGCGAGGTAACCGAAGATGGACTGGAAGAAGATCATGCCAGGGACAAAGTTACCCCAGATATCGATCTTGGTCTTGAAGTACCTTGCGTTGACGAGCGACCACATGAGTGAGAACGTCATGTGGGACCAACCTAGCAAGATGGACAATTTCATCTTGTAGGAGTTGGAGAATAACAAATCGTTCTCGGTGTCGTGCCAGCGGTAGTCAAGACCAAAGGGGTAGGTATAACCCTCGACACGGTGGGAAGTTGGACCTTTGCCATCGTTGTCCCAGACCCACATGGACTTGAACCAAGGGAGACCAAGAGAGAAAGCATCGCAGTAGAGGAGACCAGTGTAGATGGAGAAGATACCCATCATGAAAACAATGTAACGACCGTAGAACATCATGGAGAAGAGCTCGTCGAGCTTGCTGCGCTCGAGTCGCTTCTCAAAGTAGATCATGGCGCAAGCAGCGAGGAGGAGAATAACACCGTGGCCGGCATCACCGAACATGACGGCGAACATGAAGGGGAAGGTGACGATGGCTGGCAGGGCGGGGTTAACTTCGCGGTACTTGATCGTTCCGTACGCGTCGATGATAGTCTGGAAACCGAGGGTGAAGCGGTTAGACTTGAAGTATGTTGGCGGTGTCTTGGTAGTCTTGATCTGGTTGACGATGGTAGGTACGGAGAGGCCAGCACGCTCGTTGACATCCGACAGGGTTGATTTGATCAATCCAAGAGAGTTGGTAGGTGCCCAAGCCTCGGCGATGAGCGTCTTGCGCTGGTGGTCGTAGGAGAACTTGTTCAGAGTCTCGTAGGTAGCCTTTTCCTTCTTGATGACGACCATCCATGCTGCCAGGTTGCGTCCTATCGCAGTCAACTCGGCATCCAGCGTGGACTTGGTGTTCTTCAAGACGCTGGCGAGATCGCTCAGACGGGTGTTGACTTCCCGGATCTGGTCGCGGCGGAGTTCACTGTTCTCATCGACGCTGTAGAGGTCGGCACCAAGTGATTCTGAAATCTTTCGGATCTTTGCAATGATTTCCTTGCCGTGAGCGAAGATGATGAAGACATTCTTGTTGGTTTCCTCGTTGTTCTCTGGGTTGATGATGGCCTCGGGGATCTCCGACTGGTTCATGTACAAGTTACCGCGGAGGGTACGCCACAGGATGCGCTCGAAGGCGGCAATGCGTTCCCGAGGAATGACACCAGCGACGAAGCCGATGTTCATGACGGTGAATGAGCGCTCCGCGCCCGAGTCGCCCTGTCCGTTCTGCTCAACATCCTGGAGCAGCGGCGCGTCGTCGTCGTCAACGGAATCCCTGATTTGCTCGGTCTGACCACGAGCCCGGTCGAAGAAGCCACCTGCCTCTCTCAGAACCCATCGCCACTCTGTGAGCTCCACCTCGCGCTTCTTCAACGTCTCGTAGCTCTCGTTCAACGAAGAGATTCTCTGTTCCAAGCTCTGGCTCTTGTCGGCGAGTTCGTCGATCTCGGAAGCGGATGGCGCAGTGAAGGGGTTGTTGAAGTCGTAGATGGAGCGCATCGCAATGTCCGATTTCTCCATCTGGGCGCGAAAGTAACGGAGCTGTCGTTCCACATTATCGAGGCGGCGAATCTCCTGTGTAAAAGTACGTTGGAAGGCGGTCGTGTCGGCATTAAGCTAGCACATGTTGTCAGCTTCCAATATCATCAAGCCCGTCCCAGAGCCTCTGCAGAAGCTCCAGAACACATCCGTCTGCGCTCACATCTCTGAAGTCCATGACACCAAGCTCTCCAAGGCCAGAAACGACCTCACGGCCAATCTCGTTGGCAATGTACAGCTGGGTCAAGGACATGTCCGCCGAGCGGAACATGGTGTCCTTGCTGGGCGCCATGGTGGCGGGTCGGGGAGACAAGACTGGGGATACGGCGTGCTTGTCCCGGGATTCGATGGGGGGGAGGTATGCGAGATGGTGGTTGATGGAGCGAGAGCTGCCTCGAACGTGAACGCCTGCGCGATGATGCGGCGAACTGATGCAGCTCCTTAGCGCCTTGACGCGCCAAGCCCGCTACTGATGTCACTGCATCCCAACCACATCACGTCCCTTGACCCATCACAACAAAGGAACGAGGTCATGTTTGTTCACTGTCGAGATTCCGCGGCAGTGAAACCAATATTTGTTTTATCTAGGTAGCCGCGAGTCGCACACGGAATTTGCCTGGTTGACTTCTCTAACACCCAAATACGTCGCCGCTTGCCATAATGCAAGAAAGCCCAGAGAACAGGAGATCAGTGAAGTGAATAACGGGGAATCAAAGGATAGCTTTATTAGAACATAGTAAAAGTACCCAAGTCCTTGACCAAAAGCAACCGCAGAACGCAAGACGCAGAACACCATGCATACGTGAGCAGATCGTCTCTTGTGTGTGTGAAAAGGGCCAAACCCAAAGCTAGCTCGAAAAGAAAAAAGGACCGATCCCGCCTTCCACCAAGTTTGACAATGATACTGTGAATGTTTTTGTGTCGCTCGCTGTCGTGACGAAGAGAGAGAGATGAGAAACCCGGATGCGCTGTCAAGTGTGCATTCGCCTGAACACCAGGTATCGTAACCAAAAGCCAGATGCGCCATGCTCGACTGCAAGGAAGGAATTGTTTAGTCGGACGCAACATGTCGAAATGCAAAACCGTTAATCAGAGCGATTGTGAGATGAGTGAGATGGTCTAGTCGTCTATTGTTGCGGGTAGAACGTTGGGGCCTGCATCTGTTGGGGGTAATAGTAGGCGCCGTCCGGGCCAGGGGTCATCATGCCCCCCATGCCTGGAACAGCATAGCTGGGCTGAGCATAATTTTCCACTGGTGGAGCAGTGTATTGTAGCTGATTGGAGTCCACGTAGTAGGTCATACCGTTGGACTCGTAAGCAACCATATTAGGTGGACCAGCAGGAGCTGGCGGGGCGGCGACAGGAGGAGCAGACACTGGCATGACATAGCCGGGTTGCTGAGCGCCAGGAACGAACATGGGCACCATGCCGGCAGGGGGTATGTACTGTGGCTGGGCACCGTTTTGTGGGGGGTAATAGTAGCCCTGTGGAACGAAGGCTTGTGGCTGGAAGCCAGGTTGCGCGTAAGGCTGGAACGCGGGAGCATGAATGGCTCGCTCCGGAATGTTAGGAGTGCCGGTAGAGACTTGGCTTGGGTAAGAGGGGTGCCGTCCATGCTGGTAGTAGGGTTGCTCGACCGCGGGAGCAGCTCCGTTGATATGCGCAGGAACCTGCTGATGGAACGGTTGCTGCTCTTGTTGTTGGGGAGGGTTGAAGCTCATGGACGCGGGTGACTCGATACCAGCAACAGAGACGGTCTTCTGCGGGCGAGGCTGATGCATCGGGAGCTGACCTTGCCAATTCTCACGGAAGGTGGGCTTCTGCGGGAGAGGGTAAGGTGGCTGTACAGCGCCGTTGGTGGGTGAGATCATTGACGGTCCATTGTGCATTCTGGGACCCCCAGGCGGCAGGCGTACCACAGGACGACTAGGATCGACGAAGCCGCCATTGCGTGACATGATGGAACCGGCTGGGGAGACCAGATTGTCCCGGCCCATCTCACGTGCAATCGAAGACCGCCTGCTCATTGCAACACTAGGGGAGTATACACTGCCCCCGTACGCGCTGGTACGTCTGCTTGAAAGACCTCCACCAAAAGATCCGAATCTACCGCGACCCCGACCGAAGCCCTGTTGGTTGGGTCGAAGCGCCCTTGGTATGAAGATGAAAGAGCGCTCTGTGGTGGGGAAGATGTAGCGTGGTGGAGCTGGGGGTAACGAGATACGGACTGGCTTGTCACGGCGGAGGGGTGGTCGGTGGTTCGGGAGGCGAGTGTGTGACTTGATGGGGACGTTTTGGAAGTGTATAGGGCCCTTCATGTTTGGTAAGAAGACGCGTACCATGGCGTTGTGTGTATGCACTGTGGTGGAGAAGTTGCGGGCCTGTGGAGGCTTCTGGCTAGAACCTGGAGGTACTCGCGACGCGAACATGGGGGCATTCGATGCAGCTGGGGGTAGTCCAGGCTGAGCGTGGGAGCCGGGCGCGTTGACCGTCTCGTGGAGGTCGTGCTGCCAGGGCGAGTCTGTGGCTTCCTGCGGCTGCGGTCTCATGCTGGAATGTGTGTTAGTTGAATGCTCCCTGCCTGATGCCTTTGTTTGCACGTACTTTGCTGGAGCGAATGGCCCTGTGACGGGAGCGCCCCGCCCTCGCCCACGGCCTGCGTGCCTGAAGCCATTCTGTCCAGGTGCATGCCGTGAATCGTGCATGAAGAAAGCGCCACGGTTGGGTATGAAGGCCGGATCCGAGTCGCGCTTCTTCTTGTACTCCTCATGCTCCCGCCGCCGCCGCTCGGCCAGCGTCTCTGTCCGTGACTGAGGCGCACCCACGGCGGGTGCGGCGTCTGCTGCAGCCACGCCCGCCTCGAAGTCGACCACTTCGGCCTCATTGCCATCCTCCCCAATCTTCAGTCCGTTCATCATGATTTCGGTCTCTTTCATGGTGGAAAAGGCGACATCGGAGCGGGCGATGGGCGGGGAAGGTTGACGATTGCTTGCATCTTGCCTGGACTTGGCATCACGCGCGCCATTTGCTTTCCGCTTCGACTTTCCTTGGGTGAGGGAGGGCGCGCTGTCGACTTCGCTAAGGTCGCTGTTGTCTGCGTCGGCGTCCTCGTCGACATCGCTCAGCAGGGAAGCGTCGCTTTGTGAGTCGTCGGCCAGGGTGGCCACGGACTGGTTCTCATCCTCGTCATCGGTCCGCCTGCGACGCGCGATGTTGGTGGTCCTCTTGCGAGCGGGAGCCATGATTGCGGGGTCTGGGTAGTGGCGGAGGTTGGAGGCGCGATAGAGTCGGCGTGGGGTGGTCGTGGATCGGCTCGTGTACGGCGAAGCGATGACTCGGCGGCGGAGAGGGTCCGGGTGCTAGAGGCCAGCAACGTGGGAAGCGCCGAGAGTGCGGGTCCAGAGGTTGCAGCGATTGCAGTCGTGATGGGGCGAGGTGGAGTGTTTGGGCGGAGGGCTGGAATGGTTCGGCAAGGTTGGGTGATGTCTGATGCCTGTGAAAAGATATGACGGAGCTTGCCGTGCGGGAAAGCCTGGTCGCGGAACCGGATCGATGCGCTACTCCACGTCTCAGAACATGATCAACATTACAAAGCACCAAGCAATGCGCATCAAGTGATTATTGCACAAGTGGCACAGTGCATTCGACAAAGGGGTCTGCTTGTTTGCCACGTGATTGCTTTTGTTGCCCATTGATCTTTTTGGTTAGGTCATAGTTGCATGTTCGTCCCAAGCCCAACTTCAGCTGAACACCTGCTAGCGCCTTTGGCATGCTTCCAACTCAAGAATTAGGTCAACATAGTACAAGTCTGTTATTAGAATTATACCGCTATCCGTATGCACAGCCTCTCCATGTCTCCGAAGAGATACATCCCATCCATGTTCCCAATTATCCCTGCGCCATTCAAATGCTGTCCAATATGCTAGTAACAAACGCCTGTGAATGCTTCTCGACCCGCAACATATGCAGGTCGACTGCCCGGGGGGTATGCATAACGACTAGGAAATATACATGGAGTGAAAAAAAAAACGCGATTATCATACAAAACCACCTCTTCCTTCCGTCTGTTCACATCATTGCCCAATCATCTTCGGATCATGAATATACGTACAATTCTCCCCCTTGTTGCACTGTCCCTTGGCAAAGAACTTGCACTGCAACACCTTATGCGGCTTATGATCGCCGCGATTCTTTGGCCTCTTCCCCTGATTCCTCTCATTATTACCATTGCTGCCTCCGTTCTGGTCCTCGCGTTGTCGCTTAGTACCACCATTGGTCTGTTGCTGCTGATTGTACTGCTGGGGTTGCATTTGAGATTGGTAGGATGCAGCCGGATCCTGCATCTGTGGAGGCCATGCTGGTGCAGAATCATGTTGTTGGGGTTGGGGCGGAAATGCAAACGGGAAGGGAGGAAAGCCAGTTGGGAGGGGTGGGGGTGGAGGAAGTGCACCCCCTGTTGCTGCTTGCATGTTGGCGATGAGGGCAGCGATGTCCAGGGGCATGCCTGATTGTTGAGCTGGTGGTTGTGGGAAGGACATGGGAGGAGGCTGGGGAGGGGCTTGGCCGTTGCTGATGGAGGCGAGGATGCTTTGGAGACCCGCAGGGTCGAATGGAGCAGATGTTGAAGGAGGTGGTGGTGTGTAAACGTTCTCGACAGGAGCCACTGGAGGAGCGGCAGGAGGTTGGCTTGTTGCCGAGAGCGATTTGATGATGTTCTCCAATTGGCTGAAGTCCGGTACAGCTGCTGGCATTGGTGGTTGTGGACATCTCATCAAAACCTTGTCGGGTGGGGTACCAAAGTTGACCATGGTGCCCGTAGAAACGTTGTCTTCTTCCGATGGCTCTTGAGGTGAAGGTGGAACGTCGGCAGGACTTGAGTAGTAGACCATCAACGTGTTGTTCTCGCGCTGGACGTTTGCGTCTCTTTCAGGGCACTCCGGTACCTTCTCACCGCCTCCATATGGTATGTAGTTGCGTTGGCGTTCCTCGTAAGGCACGACACTGAAATCGACTTGGGATGGCGGTGGCCAAGGTCGTTCCATATCTAGTTCCTCATCATCATCATCGAGATCAAGCTCCTTGTGTTGCTTGAACATGTGTCCTTCTCCGCCAATATCACCAGCATCACGAACGAGATGGTCTTCCTTGTCGTCCATCTCTTCATCGTCAGCCTCATGGTCAAAGTACTTGACTTCCACCAGTGATGTTTCAGGCCGCCAGGTGACGCGTAGGTGTCTTCGGGATTCTTTCCGCAGACGCTTTGTCTTTTCTTCTTCGGTCTCTGTTGGAATTGGCTTCTCGGATTTAACAGGCGCCGCTTCTGGCTCCTTTGGCTTTGAAAGTGACGCCATTGTTTGAGCAAAGGAGAATGCGGGTTTGGACGTCGCAGCCACTGGCTTCTTATCTTTCGCCGCCGGGGCAGCAGATTTGGCTGAGGCCGCTGCCTTCGTAGCAGCTGGTGGAGGGGCCACCTTCTTGGCCGCTGCGTTGATGGAGGCGAATATGCCTGAGGGCTTGTTGGTGATCTGAGTAATACGAGTCTTGACGGGAGCTGGTGCTGGTGCCGCCTTTTCGCTGGGTCGCTTTTGTACTGTTTGATTGGAACCTGCGGTTGTGGGCTTCGAAGCCGAAGTGGATGCGGGGTCCTTCTTAACCGCGCTGACGGGAGCTTCAGGCGTCTTGGGTTTCTTCGCTAGGGGGTTTTCGTTCGTTGAGCGGCCCGCAGCTTCTGTCGCAGGTCGCTTGACGCCCTTGTTCTCTGTCGGCTCGGCTTTCGGCGGAGGACTCGCTTTGGCCTTTTTGGAGTTGGCAGCAGCACCATCTATGATTTGTTGTATGAAGGCCTTGTGCTTGTCATTTGCGTGTTTCTTCATAGATGCAAGCGCCTTTACAAGCCTAGTCTCTTCAAGGAGCTCAGAAGTCAATGTACCGCATCGCGAGAGCACCTCGTATATAACCGCAGATAATGGCCCATCGTAGTCTTTGCTTTTGAATCGGTTCGCCAAAAACTGGTAGCACAGATACAAAAAAGGCTTGATCAGCCCTAATTGGTAGAGCACATCAGGATGGGAAAACTCAAGCGCAGCTTCAAGCGCAGACTTGAGCAAGTCACGCTGACTAGTTACCCGGCTTTTCAGCACGGGCAGCTCACCTATCTTCTTCTGTTCCTCCGCTTCCGTCACAGCCTTGCTGTCGGCTCGCCACCGCTTATGAATGGTGTCAAGTACGTCCCAAACCTCACGCATGCTCTTCTTGATGTTGTCGGAGCTTGGCGATGATGAAGAAGGATGCCAGGTAGCTTTGACGACATCATACCGAACAGCAGCATCGGGATCTTCCGGTCTCGTCTCCGGCACCGGCATCTCTTCCTCTTCTGAAGAATCGCTATCGTAGTCGGACGAGTCAGTTGAGCTTTCACTATCACTAGCTTGTCTCTTGAGTTCTGCAGGCTTCCTTTTGAAGGCTCTTGAGTGAGACTTGGCAGCTGACAGGCTAGCACGAAGCTTCTTACTGTCTGCTCCAGCCTTCTTAAGATCTTTGAGTGATTGTCGAGGAACATAGACAGGGAGCGCAGCTGTGCATAGGTTAGAGAATGTCTTTGTGAGAGTACCATGGTACATTTAGGCTTACTTCTATTGGTAGCGAGATGGAAGGGTTCATTTCCCAAGGTCACGAATTTATTCAGTGGAGTAGAATTAGTGGCCTTTGCTAGTGCAGCCTGGTCAAGAACGTATAGACCCCCCGACTTTCTGCCCTTTGGTATTTCATACTCAGGCACAGGCACTGGTTTCACAAAAGAGACGGGTGCAGCGCGCTGCTGGACAAAAGCATTCGTTGTGCTCTGCGGTGCCTATAGAGTGTTAGCGATGATTGTGGCGCTACAAGCTGGTGAAGCTTACCTGGTAAGGAGATGCCGTAGGGCGGGCTTGTTGAAGAGGAGGCATGCTGTGCTGCAGAGCCTGCGGTGTCACAGTACTGGCATGACCTTGAGGAGTTTGGGTCCGCATAGGCATTTGATATGGCGACTGCTGTTGCTGGCGAATGGCATTGGGATCCATGCCTAGCGATGGGTCGACGTTGGACTGCTGACCATAACCACCCAAGGTACTCTGCTGGCCAAACTGCCCATACTGATACGGCGAAGCAGTGCGAAGGCCATGTGTTTGGCCACCGTAAGGTTGGCTACTACCAGTGTAGGGTTGTTGTGTGAATGATCCATGGTGCCAGCTCTGGGCTGACGCATTAGGTGGCAGCGCCGTGTGTTGGTGCAGCTGAGACTCCCATGTAGGGGTGCCGTAGCGGTCGACAGGAGGAAAGAGATGCTGATATGAGGGGTCGGAATAGACGTTTTGGCCTTGCATGGGCACTTGGTCACTCGGCACGTGATTAGACGCCATGGTGTGGCTGATGGATGGAGGATGTCTTGGCTAACCAATGTGTCAGCTGTCAGTTTTACAAGGATGTGATTGGCTGATGACGCACAATTGTCTCGAACCAGCAAACAGGATGAATTAGGCGGCAATGCAGCAAGCACTAAGCGCTAAGAGGACTGGCGCAAAGTCACAAGTGTGAATTGTTGCCGTTTCGGGGAAGGGAAAAAGGTCGATAAAACTTCCGGTTCGGGCGGTAGTGCTGTTGTGCTGCTGTGTTGGAAGTGCTGCAGAGCGCGCTTCCGGCCTTACTGATGCCCGCCGTCGCTGGCCTCGGATTTGGTGGGAAATGCAACAGACCTGGCTCACAAGGCAGTATTCGTGTTCCGACGCCCGCGATGCCGTGTCGCCCCAGTCCACGATGCGTGAATATGGCTTTATGGAGATGGCACTTTGCCTCGCGTATTATGCGATGAGGAACACACTGCTGATGCGTCACTTGACGTTTGCGCGCACCCAGAGCACAGCACGTGTTGTATCTGCGCGATAGCTCGGCCAGACTCCCTTGCGCAGCGCGTCGAATCGAAGATGTCGCTGTATTAGTAGCAGAAAATCCAAGATGATTGTCACTCTGCCGTCCACAGTACACGCCTTCCTCACAAACGCCGCTGCCAGCCTGAGCGCGCACTTCCCCCAAAGCAAGGACCTTTCGGTTGAATCTAGCCTCAGAATCAGATGCCCTTATTAGGTGGGCGAGAGTTCACTGAGAAGTAGCATGAGTGTCAAGAGGGAAGAAGGGGGTGTGTTGTGGTGGGCGAGGAGAGTTGAAGAGCGAGGGAGCGCAGCGAAGGGGCGAGCCCGTTTTCAAAGGTCGCCTGCCCGCCAAGTAGCGCGACGCGCTAGCCCCGGGTGGGGCGGGCAAGCTCGAGCTGCATCACCAAAGTCCGGGAGAGAGTGAGAGCGCGGGCAGGCAGACGCGACAGCTGTCTTTTCCGCTGGCTGACTACACGAGACATACTTGCTCCACGCTCTGCATACCTCTCCTGTGCATGCCATCCATCTGACACGCGGCGGGTGCCCGGACGGAATACAATGGCTCTCTCACTGCGGGATCGCCAGATCGGTATGCGGCTTCTTGATGCGACTTTGTTTGACACGACAAGGCACCGTTACTGACACGTGATAGCTGCCATCAAGCGCATACTCAAGTGAGTGCTCGTACGCGTGCAAGGCCAGCAACCCTTCGCTGACCCCCGAAAGCCTCAACGCCCCCATCAACGACGTCGACGCTGCTGAAGAGTCCACCACCACAACCACCACAACCACCAGCACAGCCGACATCGAGTGGAAGGTACTGATCCTCGATACTCAGGCGAGGAATGTCATATCGGCAGTACTGCGTACAAACGACCTAAGAGCAGCTGGGGTACCATGAGCCCCTCCAACACGTGGCTACAATATACTGAGGCATACAGGTCACTGTACACTTCAATCTTGCATCCAAGCGCAGCCCCATACCCGACACCCCAGGCATATACCTCATCGCCCCCACAGCCGAGAACCTAGCGCTGGTGACCAAGGATCTGAACGATGGCTTGTACACCCCGGTGTACGTCAACTTCCTGTCAAGTGTCCCCAGGGCACTCCTGGAAGACTGGGGTAGCCAGATTGCATCCTCACCCTCCGCTGCCGAGAATCTCGCCCAGATATACGACCAGTACCTGAACTTTGTCACCCTCGACAGCGACCAGTTTTCTTTGAATATTGAAGATGCGTATCGAAAGATTAACAGCCCGAAGACGTCGGACCAGGAGCTAGACGAGCTGATCGATCGCATCGTCTCGGGACTCTTCTCTGTCGTAGTCACCATGGCCGTCGTTCCCATCATACGCTGTCCAACAGGAGGAGCTGCTTCCGATATCGCGGCAAAGCTTGATCGAAAGCTGCGCGACCACATCCTCAACAGCAAGGAAAACCTCTTCTCCGCCAACACAGCGTCTCGTCCTGTTCTGATCATCGTCGACCGCAATATCGACCTTTGCCCCATGTTCAGCCACTCATGGATATACCAAAGTCTTGTTTACGACGTACTAGACTTTTCCCTGAACAAGGTCGTCGTGACTGTGCCAAACGACAAGGCAAATCCCGAGAGCGGCTCTAAGAAACAGACCTACGATTTGGCGGCCAGCGATTACTTCTGGAAACGCAACGCAGCCCAACCGTTTCCTCAAGTAGCAGACGACGTCACAAACGAGTGGACAAAGTACACGGCAGATGCAGACAAGATCACAAAGTCCACGGGCTCCAACTCTATTGACGATATGGAGACTCAATTCGCAGCTCATCTCAAAGGCGCCATATCTATGCTGCCCGAGCTCCGTGAGCGCAAGGCAACTATTGAGAGCCACATGAGCATGCTCGAGTCGGTCATGGATGGCATCAAGCAGAGGAAATTAGACGAGTTTTTCCAGCTCGAAGAAGAGCTTGGCAAAGCCACCAAAACAACGATCCTAGATATCATCAAATCCAGCGACAAGGGCAACGACCCATACGACAAGCTACGTCTGTTCCTCCAGTGGTACTTGACCACATCCGACGACCTATCGCGCAATGAGCTCGATAGCTTCACACAAGCTCTAGAACAAGCTGGGTGTGATACAACAGCAGTAGCATACGTCAAGACAGTCCGCCAGATCACGCGCATGACTATGTTGAGCTCTGCACCTACGCAACCTGCACAGGCGTCATCGAACCTTTTCGGCGGTTTCTCAAGTTTAAGCAGTCGCGTCACAGACAAATTCAAGGAAGCCGGTTTGGGCGCGCCCAACTTCGAGGGCGTATTGTCAGGCATTAAGAGCTACTTACCCGCTAACACAGACCTGACTCTTACCAAAATTGTAGAAGCCATTTCTGATCCTCAAAGTAAGTGCTGTCGCTTGAAATATCTTGTCGAGTGATCACGCTAATCGTGGTAAATAGATGCAACATCAAGTGCATTGAACAAGATAGAATCCTGGCTCTACTTCGACCCCCGGTCTGCCAACGCTCGTGGTACTATACCACCAGCTAGCCAGTCTCGAAACAACCAGAGTACCGTCTCCCGCGGTATCGAAGCCTCGTTTGGGCAAAGACGACAAGGCTACACGGAAGCACTGGTGTTCCCTGTTGGAGGCGGCAGTATGGATGAATTCGGCAACTTGCAGGCATGGTCGCAAAGGACTAGCGCTGCGGGTGCTGGCCAGCAAAGGAGAGTTGTGTATGGCTCTACGAATCTGTACTCTGCGAGGGACTTCATCGTCAATGAACTGGCGCCTTTGGGTGCTGAGACCGCTTGAGCTTGTATGGTCGGCAGTACGCAAGTCACCAGAGCATAGCATGATGTGTCAAAGAAGAGTAACGAATACATGGCTCAACCTTGCATCATGATATATATAGCGCTCGAGTTATCATATACTTGTGCCTTTTGTTTTTCTGTCTCAGTATACTCTTCGACTGACTTTGATTATGCACAAAGTGAGGTGCATTACATCAGTCAGAAACGCAATGCCAGCCCCTCCATCACGTCACACGGCTTGGTTACAAACGGCCCCTCCTTGCTCGGCGTTTAGTATGGCATGACAACCTCGGTTCATTCTTGGGAGCACGCGATACAAAAGTAAAGAGATCAGCCATGCTACAGAATGACCTGAAACTTCAGCCATGCGCTCCCGATTACCTGGAAAACGTGACAGCAGCATGTTTGATCACCCGGTGAATTATAGACGCAATGGCATGTTTGATCGTCTCGTGGGTGTTGAACATGGCTTCTAGTCCTCGTATATGCATAATTTGACATGTGTGGTAAGGCTCAAACGCAATGTATGTTTTTTTGTTTTTTTGTGATGTCAGAATCGGGCTGCATGCAGAGAAGTATGCAGAGAATGATCTGAAACACCTTAGCGTATATCGTGATACCCTGCATCCTTCCAATCCTGCGATCGCTGCATCGTTGTTGTTGTCGTCGTAGTCGTGGCTTGATGGTGTGTTTGTTTGCTTTTTCCCTCCCTTTTGAACGTTATCTCAAACGTTCTCCACTAATGTTTGCTTTTCCCTTCAACTCCACACCTCATCCTGCTACCCACCTGTCCGAACTTCAGCCGTCCAGCTTAGCTGTTTAGCCTTCCTCTTCAGCCGCAATCCTTTGACAGTCGGTCCGCGAACCGGATCCTTCAAGCCACGATACACATGTGTACGATGCTCGATCGAAGGATCAGATCTGGCTGCATACGTGTTTGAGATCTCCAGGGCTGGCTTGGTTTGATGGACGGCGAGGATGGAATCAAGGATGATCAGCTGGATGCAGGTGAGGGTAAAAATAATGACCCATGTAGGTTGCATGGTGGAGGGCTTTGTGAGGGTCGACGGCTGAGTCGTAGTGGGGATGTGGGCATCCTGACCTGCTGACGAATTAGCATCGATTGTGATGCGTGATGTAGTACGCGCAAGCTTTTGGTTGCTCTATTGTGGGAGATGATCTAGTGGAATGAATAATTTGGTTGGACTTGTTTCTGAGGTAGAAATGTGCCCTAATTTGTTGATCAAAAGGTAGCGTTAGAGAGAGTAAGTCATGTGCGCAGGTTTGTTTGTGCAAGATATGAGCATAGGTCGTACATGTAGCTCGTCAGTATAATTTGCTGGATGACGTCTCCAGCGGGTGCGTATGTGAACTATCCTTACATGCTCACATGCTCATGTTGGAATTTTCCATCAGGACCTAGAAGTTGGTGATAACTGGCCATGAGAACTCGATATCGATAGACAACTATATTGCGCCAAAGGTATCGCAGTCACATTGACGACTGTGAACAATCTTCATAATATACAATAATCCATATCTTGGTATATATACAATCTATATACAACATCAATCTAAAGTCATGATTCCATCCTGTCCATCTATCCCAGTTTTGACCATCTAACACCAACGCCAGTATGCAAATAAAGAAACCCTGTTATACAACTCAGCCCATCACCGCCGCAATGGACCATACACCCTATGATTTCTCACATCCATCGTCCCGCTCCCTGCCAATCGACTGTTGAAGCTAACATCTCCAAACACCGTACCCTTACTCTGCAACGTCCAACTAACCGTCGGCTTCGGGCTTCCTGTAAAAGGATTCATACTCGTCAAGATCCAACCCCGTGCCAAGGGCGCATACTCCGTCCCCTTGACCACCTCCGGAACGGCGATAAGAAGAGTCTTGGAGTGCTCGAATGGAGCAAAGATGATCGCTTTCCCACTGCCACCTTGAAGTGGCGCGCCCACGTAATCGTACGCAGGCGATGCTGATGTCGAAGAAGATGGCGCAGAGACAATCAATGGCCCATGTGTCCGCTCACTCGCACCAGATGGCCAAGGAATTCCACTTGTGATGAGCGTACTCAGTACATTTACCAACGCCTGCAATGCCGCCCGGCCTTCTTGTAATAGTACAAAATTCTGGAGGATGAGATGAGGATTCATCAGCATCTCGATATTATATGCCGATAGTCTCGGTTGGTTGGTCTGATGTGCCTCGCATAGTTCAAGCCCCGCCGAGACTTCCAATAACCATTGCGGTCCGCAGCTCAATACGCAGGCTAGTGTCTGGATAAAGATATTGCGCAACGCCGGTGTGCGCGGATGATTTGGTGCGTGTGAGAAGTTCCAGAGCCCGCTGGATCCAGGGATGTGGTATTGGACGCATAAGTCGACTATGATCCTCGCTCGCACGACGTGTGTGGGGAAGGATGGGCTGGGTTGCGTTCGGTGGGGGAGATCGAGGAAGATGAGATCGAGCTGTGCGTACTCTGCCCTGCCGTCGTGCGCTTGGATAATCTGGTCCGCCTGGCTGGAGAAACGTGGAGGTGGACAGCGGGACAAGGTAGTGTCGAGAGAAGTCGGGCGGCATAGCCATGAGACTGAGCCGTCGTGGAGTTGGAGGGGTAGACCGGTCGTGCAGAGTGCGACGGGATCTCGTGCTGCGATGCCGACGAGGAGGAGGGAACGAAGACACTCGTCTTCTATATTTGGTCGCGAGAAGGGACTTGGAGGGGCGAGGGCTAGGGGAAGGCCAGATGCGTTTAATGCGAGGGCGGTTTTGTCTCGGTTTGCATCGAGGCGACGCATGTATTCTGGTAGTCGGGGACTGCCACCTGTTTTGAGGCGGAAGGTATCTGTGACTAGTGAAGTGAACGATTGCATTGTCGGGGCCTGATCGTGTGGGGTATCTGGTCTGCGCAAGGCGTCATGTCCATGCTTGTTGAGCGTATCAAGTTCTTGGAAGAATGCCAAAAGCGAGCGTATCTTGGCCATTACCGGCGGTGTGAATGTAGCGAGTTCGCTCGCAAGAACCAGTAGATGAGTAAAGAATTCTCCCGTGAAGCGTGTGACTGTCTGAATCTCGTCTTCGTAGTGCCGTATGGAAGGTACCAAAAAGACATGGCTTCGTCCCATCTTCATCTCATGCGCACACCATGCGCGGTCAAACCAATCTGAGCTGATCACTCGCTCGAGAAAGGTCTTCAGGGGTGTGAATTGCTCCATGAGAGGTGGTGTGAGCCCTGAATTGGGCTCTTGGCCCGACGGTAGCTGGGAGTAGCTGTATTGCTCGACATAGTAGCGTAGAAACTGTTCTTCGTCTGGCGTAACAGCGATATCGTCAAGTGCTACGACAACCGCCCTCGCGTTCTTGTAAATGACATCAATAGCCCCGATGACCACTGACTTCTCGCTCTCATCCTCTTGTTCGAGACATACTTGGTCGAACCACAGTCCTTCGCCTTTGTGCTTCTCTTTGATGACAGCCTCGAACAGTGCAGCACTTGTTGGTAGCGGAAACTGCTCAATCTCCTTCTGCCATCCAAAAGGAAGATCTCCAACTGGTGTGACGACTCGTCTCGGTGTGTTCGCGGTGGTGTGCTTCCTGCAGTAACTGAGTGCGATGTATCCCTCCTCCTCGCCGTGATGGGTGATCTCGTTGATCAATCGAAAGGGGAAGGTGTTCTCCACATGGTCCTTGGGAATGAATTCTTTTATGAGGGAAGGTGCTAGACGACTAATGTTGGACAAAAGGGACGTTGCATCGATGTTGGTGTCGAATGAGGATGCTGTCCATCTGTGTCGACTGATCAGGTTCTCTCGTGTCGCAGGTTTAACCATCCGCGTATGCAGACCCGAAGTGTTTAGCTCATCCTCGTCGATATCAAGAAAACTGCACTGTCCGAACCGGGAAAAGTATTGGAAAGATGTTGGCAACGCCATAGGAAAATACATTATTCGCCTAGCTTGACAGAAAGATGATAGATTGTTTGATGCTGGACTGAGCCCTTTACAACAAGGCATCCAGACCCTTTTGACTATCGCACCACACCTCTACCATCAAGACCCATGATCCCTCCCATCTGCACCCAAGGACGCCGGCGCACAGCCACGCTCTGGTCTTGGATTCAGCTGTAAGAATCGCAAGAGGGACGGTGCCATGCATGAACGTTTTCCGTCAGCTCACTGGCGCCACAAGCGGGCCCACGCGCAACCCTCGCCGCACCGACTACCGCATTGCGTATTTGCGGGGTATGGTGGGAAGTCTTGGCTGGCTTTTGACGGTGGGTTAAGATGTATAAGGCGTAGTAAAGGATAGCAAAGTTTGAGCGATCCAGAGGTTCGGGTACTATTACGGGTCCGCACGGCCCTCGCACGCGCAACAACGGCCACAGCAGGTGACGTCGCAATCTTCGGAAGGGGCAGCCGCAAGGAAGCAAAAGAAATACACATGATATGAAACATGCAGCCTCATGGAGATGTTCCGGTAAACGCCTCAGGGTGGACGCGACATGCCACACGCTAGAAGTTCTAGAAGGTAAAAAGCAATTACAACATGCAACGCCCTTTAATTTTACACGGTACGTAATTTTCCGGACGAACCCGTGGGAGCGGAAAGTGGCCATGTTGTATCATGGTGATGAAGTTGAACGGTCAAGTTGAGAAGAGGTCAAGCTCTACCATGGCATGTCCTAGTCATGAGCAGATCTGAAGCACATCGTGCCTGAGCCGATCTTGGATAAAAATAGACTGGCGACAAGAGATTCTACTCCCGAGATCAGAGTGTAAAGATACATGTGTTGTGAGAAACCGACACCCAGACTCCAGCGATTACCAAGCCCAGGAATGTGGTCCTGCCAAACCTCTCACGTTTCGTGATGGCCAAACTCAAATCTTCAGGCGGACACTACTACCCGTCCGGACGCAAAACACCTTTCAAAACGCAAAGTTGACAAATTACTAAACAGGCGGTTAATCGATCTTTGCATTTGC